GCAGCGCGGGCAGGCCTGGCGGTGACAGCAGGCGGCCTTGCTCCAGCAGCCGCAGCACGCTGCACGTGGCCGCAGTCTCCGACACCACAGAGCGCAGCTCCGAGTCCTTGCCCTGATCCTTCTTCTGCTTGGTGCGCCTGTTCTGGAACCAGACCTTCACCTGCGAGCGGGGATACCGGGAGGGTGAAAGAGGGGAACAAGGAAGACAAGTGTCAAGGAGCAGGCTCCTGGGGCACGAGGACTCCTACACCCCCACCCCAGCCGCACCCCCACTGGCCGCGGTGCCTCTGGAGAGGTTTGGCGGCGGCAGGAGCTCGGCGAAGCTGCAGCCGCCAGAAGGGGGACAGGGCTCTACTGGGCTGAGCTTCCGGGTCATGGAAGCAGGCCTCAGCCTGCTTCGGTTACAAAACACAAAGTAATAAAAATATCCATGACACTAACTCAAAGGAAGACCAGAAAGATTTCACTGGGCTACCGCGTTACCGCGGCCTGGGATTTGGGGTTCATAGATGTGCCAGTCAGCTGGCCTGAGAGCCCCAATTTTCAATAGAGGGTGTGATGTTTGAATCAAGATGCAATGTGGGGAGCAGCTGGCTAACAGGGGGGTTTCTCGGCCTTTCTAGACCTAGACCACGGCCCGATGCATTCAAATTTAGCCCCAGAAGTGCCATTCCTGCTGAGGCCCTGAAGTGAATGTTTTCTGCTTGTTAGGTTGACTTGACCATAAACCAGCAGCAAGCAGGAAAGGTGTCTGTAAAAGGAATAATTTGTGCAAGATGAATTTAGAGGCAGGGCTTTCTCTACCCCCACCCCTCGCAACCAGCTAGTTTGAGGGTCTGAGTGATGCTCTTAATTTACCACTCCTGATTTCTCCACCATGAACTTTGGAATCATGAAAGGAAGATAGGAGGCTGGCGGAGACCAAATACTACTCTCCACCAGCCTGCCCTCTCAATTCCTATTCTTTCTTCCCCTCTTCAGACCTAGCAGTAACCCAAAATACTGTGTGACAGCTGGATGGAAAAGCTACCCAGTCTAGATTTTGAAAACTAAAAAGGGGTAGTGGCAGAAAGATGAGGGAAAGCTACTGTGCCTATTCAAACTACAAAGGAACATCCCATGTGTTCTGTCATCAGTTCCCAGAATCCCAGACCTGAAATGAACCCCATCTGCTTCAAAGCTGGGGACTGGGAGAGAAACTAGTCCTCAAAAAGAAAGCTGACTTACCTAGGCCAAGCTGGTGGCCTGGTTTGACCAGCGCCCAGAGTTCTTAGTCCTACACTCACCCTAGGCTCAGGGATCACAGGGCCACCTTGGGTAACATACAGGTTTGATGTTAAGATCTAAAGCATAGGCTCTAAGGGCCCAGAGATCCATCGCCCATCTCACATCTCACGCCACAAGCACAGAAGCCCTCCTAGGAGGCCAGAGTGGTGCTCAGGACTGGGTCTAGCACAGCACAAAACCAGAAAGAGCTTTAAGGGGCAGGGCAGGGCAGCCAGATTGGGGCATAGCTAAATTGTGTATCTTTCTAATCCCACTTCCTACAGAATAGGCCTGGGTGCTTCATAAAGCTGGGGCCCCAAAGCGAGTGGTGACTAAAAATCTGGCTGAAATGGGGTCTGCAAAACAGACAAAAAGTCAGTTCTTTGTACAAGCAGAAGTGAACAGAAAATTTTCAAGACTGGAAACCTTTATAAATTACTAAAGGATAGGATTTGGGCCTCCTGGGCCAGGCCAACATGCACAGAATGTAGACCCTGGAAGATGTGGGTATCTATCTACATGGGAAAAGCCCGGTTTATGAAAAGGGAAGAAACCTTTAGACCTTTCTTCCCCATCCGCTCCATCTCCTCCACCTGCCTGGAGAAGCTCTGTCCAAAGCCAGGTTAGGTAATGAGAATGAGCAGGCAGGTGTTGGTGGGGCGGAAGCCTGGTGTAGAAGTGTGTGCAGCCTGGCTGCCGGGTACCTGGGTCTCGGAGAGGTTGAGCTGCCTGGCGAGCTCGGTTCTCTCGCGGCCCACCACGTACTGGCATCGTTGGAACTCCATCTCCAGACGGTAGAGCTGCTCTGCAGTGAAGGACGTGCGAGTCCTCTTGGGCCGGTCCAGATCCAAACCCTTGGGCAGGATGATCTCTCGGATGGACCCCTTGGCATCTGAGGAAGGGGAGAGGTCAGCCACCAGCCTCCCCTCTCCCTCCACCTCCTTGGTCTGAGCTGGCTTTGGGGACACGGTCCCCAGCAGCCTACAAGGGGTAGGGTGGGGGACAGCTACAGCCGAGAAGCACAGACAGTAGTGGTGGTGGTGGTGGGGTAACTCCACATCCCTGACTTGAGGAAGGACCGGACTTTGTAGAGACCTCCAGACAGGGGAGGGGGAAAAATCAATTCCAAACGGGAAGATGATCCTTCCGGTCTGGGGAGCTCCGCTGTGCGACCTGAGTCCCCTGTGGCCTGAACGTGCGCTCCTTGACAAAGCCAGGGTTCTGCGGGCCTTAGGCTGTTAAACAGCCGGCGCTCCAGCGATCCCACGCCCACCCCGGGCTCTCCTGCCCTCCCGAGCCCGGGCGGAGGAAGAAGGAGGGACCGAGTCCAGGCCAGCAGGGCCCAGCTTTCTGCTGGCGGGGGCGGCGCCGGACTAGG